AACAGGAAGTAACGTCAAAATAAAAGCCTGACAGGAAGCAATGGAACCGAATCGTGACAGGCCACTTTTCAGTTGTGATTATGAAGTCCTTCATCTGGTATATTTTAGCACCTCAAAGATCCTCATTGTAGGATTTATGTAGTATTTTATGTAATTCTGTCAGAAATAGATACAGTAGTGCCATATCATGAAGTTTTTGTACAGTTGTTTGTCCTGCCTCTTCAAACAAAGTGATGAAAGTCTCATATACAGTATGAGGTGGTGTAATGAGACAGTTTTCTGCCTCCAGACATCCTCACCCCTCCTCTTCATTCTCACCAGAGGCCAGCTGGCTGGCTGAGGCACCTGTTGCGTCTCAAACTAATACTGCCTACCTCCCCCACCGCCTTCAGCAGGGAGATAAGGAAAAAAGGGATCTTAAAATGAAAGCAACAACAGAAGAAGAGGTAGGGAGCTGTCAGATAGTCAAGACACCTGGCCTGTTGGAGCGGTTGGGTGGTTATTAGAGGAAGATGTGCATGTGGGAGGGGGGAGCTGCAGGCCCTTGGCTGTTGTCAGAGCAGCACAGTAAGAACAGTGGAACCAGACAAAGGGGGAGGAACATAGACAAATAACCTGTCATAAAATACAAGAACTTGGAGAGATAACAAGTGCAAAATATCTTTAGCTTGCCAGTTATATTGTCATTTTTCTTTGTGGAAGAAAAGAGAAGATGTTACAATAACTCCGACTTTGTAACCATGTTTTAAAATGAAATGTGATTCTTATCACAACAAAAAGATCTGCCTGGACGCCATCAAGGGATGCTTGGTCAAAACCAGTGCTAACAGAGAGGAGGAAGTAGGATGAAAGGAGATCATGGTAAAACAAGGGTGAAAGTTGACATGTTAATATGCAGTAACTCATTTTTTGTCATAATAGCAGTGGTTCTATACTGTCAGTTCTCAACACATAGTGATTTTTGAGCCAGGTGTTACTATGGTGAACTGTGAATCTGTGCAGTGAACAGAGCGATGCTTTGTTGTCTTTGCACATCATTAGAGTTTTAACAGCCTGGATAATTCCAGTTATTTACCACTTGAGCCTTATTCTTGTGGTTTTGTTTATCACTTATACAGTACCAGGAATGCTAGTGTCATTCCCTTCTTCTTGGGTCTTCAGGTGTACAGTACATGCATATGTGCCTATACCCGAGTAGTGTTGGGAATAATAAGTCATATATCTTGTTGTACTGTAGATGCAGACAGTGCAGGCTTATTTCAGGGTAATAATTGTTTGAGAAGCCAAAATTGATTTGTAACAAATAATAGTAACTAGAATTACTGCCTCTCAGCTGTATGCCTCCACCAACCAGGCAAGTTGCAGTTTACATGTATGTCTGCCCAGACTCATGTAGCATACGTAGTGAAGACTGGTGGAATTTAATAAAATGTATTAAGAGTGTTTTTGACATAATGGAAGTTATAACTATATTGACATGTATGAGACTAGTGGATGATTTCCAGTGAGAAATGTGCTGTCTTCACTGAGAGACTAGTTCTGCAGAGGACTAATAAAGAGCTGTCACATCATCCTTGAGTCCAAGTAGTTGCTGGTGCCAAATTCTAAAAAAAGTCCCTTAAGGTGTTCATGAGAATGGGATGGACAGGCAAACAACCCAAAAACATAATTCCTCTGGGCACGGCTGTCGCTGGTGCAGAGGTATAAAAGCGGTGGTTGGTATAATGAGCAAAGATTAGAACTTTAATGATGATTTGTTTATATTATTGACCTTTAAATAACTATTTAACAATGCTACATGTGTAGTAGCTAACAGTTATTTTAAAAATTGGACTGCCTGTTTCTTTCTAGATTAATCAAAGAATCATTTAGTTTGTCGAATATTAAAAAAAATCATCTGAAATATTTCGCCGCTTTTCTTTCTGGAAAAATTATTGGTTATAATCAAAATAATTGAGAGTTGTTATAGATTTTCTAATGATGTACTTATTTTTGCAGCTCTAATGTCATTACAATAAAGATAAATAAATGAAAGCAACCTTTTTTTCTCTTTTCACTGGAATAAGGCAAAGGCAGACAACCTTGCAGATTTGCTGTGAGATGCAACCCAGCAACATGAAAATAAATAAAAACCCTTTCTTTTAGAGGTCAGTGCAGGTTGCCAGTCCTATCATTTATTTAATGTAATACTCAAAAGTCTAAAGTCACTAAATGCAATAATGATTCAGTGACATTAAGTTGCTCTGGGATGCAGCTTTGTTCAATTGCAGAATGAATATTATTCATTGTCTAGCCTTTAGATTGTATTCCATATATTCCACAGAAGAAGTTTCTAGAATGGTTAAATACGTATTTGAATCTGACAGAGACACTAATTCTCACATTGGGACCCTGCTCTTTATTTATAAGTGTGTATGATATGTCCGGCCATCTCAGTACTTCAGCTGCTAGTGCAGGGAGCCTGGTTTAGGGCATTCCACTCCAGGGGAAGAATAACAGGATCCTTTCACGGGGAGAGGGATCTGGGAATGTTGTTAACAGCTCCAAGATGGGAATGATGTCCCCAGGGTCTGAAACATTCCTTCACTCTGTGTTCACCTGAATGGAGGATGGAGAATGAGAGAGACAGCAGTCAGGAGCAGAGTGGAGAGGCTGCACTGATCTGGGCCATCCTGTTGAGAAATAAAAGCTGTAGCCTTTCACCCATATGGCTTTACTTGTACTTTACTTTGCAGACAAAAAGTGGGCCATTCATACTGTTAGATTCATGTTTCAGTTTCTCATATCCTTTAGGCATGATTCCACTTTTTTGAAATGAAAGGAAGCCTCATTACTGGAATAGGTATGGTAGTCTATGCTTCCCCTATTACTGTTTGTCTTTCCACTGGTTGGCCACCCTGTCCGTGGAAGAATGCCAGCATTTTATGTGTAGTTTCCACTCAGATGGTTGCTGTCACATAGAATAAGTGTTGTTATGCAGACCTCTTCCAGTACAAAACCTGAAAGACTAGACAATAAATCTTTTGAAGGTGGTATTTATTTTGTTTTTTTTTATTTGAATATCAGTTTCTTAGAGCTACAATTTTGCTGCCTCTGTTTAAAGGTATCAAACTGAAAGAAGGCATAATATGTCAGGAACTACACAGCCTGACTCCTTGGTAGATATTTCTACAGTAAAATTACTTTTACAGAGTTGAGATTACACTAAGCTGTATTGGGGCAGCGACAGCATATTGTGTGAAATATCAAATTTCCCCTTGTTGTGCATCGTGGGCAGAAGGCAGCACTGAATTATGGGCATGCTGCAGTCATATTGGTTTCAGCTGGATAAGTCCAATTCTGCTGTAAGCTACTGGAACCACGCAGCCGGGTGACACAAGCTTTATATTCTACTGCATATGTATTCAGATTTGTGCAGCATAAAAAGGATGTTTAGCTCAGTTCAATCTTTGTCAAATATTAAAAAAATAATAATCATCTCAAATATTTGGCTGTTTTCTTTCCCATTTCCATTTTGTGTAATAAACAGCTGAAGGTCACACATAACTATTCTAATACCACAGAGCTGAGCAGAATAATACAGCGAAACACTGTTTGTTTTAACTACTCCCCTTGCTCTTGCAGAGTTCATGAGCGCATGTGCTTTCCACATGCCTGGATCCAGGAGATCTGAATAGGAATCTGAATGCTCCATTCTGTTTAGAGCAAATATTATCTTTGAACTTTATGGTACCACTCAATTATAATTCTGGTTCTGCTGGTTCTTCTTCTGATTCTGACCTTTTTTTGTCCCTTTTTCCTCTGCAGGCCTGGCGAGTGTGGTCAAAACTCTGCTGTGGTCAAAAATGGCCGCTTCTCCTCTCCCCCCTCTTCTTCCTCCTCCTCACAATCTCTGTGATGACACTCACCCTACCCCTCCCTTTGCCACCTGCTGACATTGGCCGTCAGTCGTCTCGTGCCTTGAGCTCCACTGGGGAGTCCAGATCCAGGCCCAGGGTCATGGAGCCCACTCCAGTCATTGCCTTCCAGCAGCCACTCCCTTACATCCACAGCGGGGCCTGGAAAAATATTACTGAAAGAGACACACTGAAACATTCAGCACCACCAAAACCTTTTAGGGATGCAGCTAGTGATAACAAATACAGTATCAAGCGAGAGCAAGACAGAAGTCATAGAGACATACACAGAAATAAACACCAAAGCAAAGGCATTGCTTCTAATAGAAAAGAGATGGCAGGTACCAGTCAGCATCCAGCCATTCATCTCCCACAGTTTACAGTCAATAGCTCAGGGCCAAAGCATAGAATTAAACCAAGCAACCACAGTGCTGAGGTACAGCACACTGCACAGACATACATTCATCTGGAAAGGGGTAAAGCCACAACAGCAAATATTCCAGCTGCAGCTCATACCCTGATAAGTTACAGACAAGCTGCAGATAGACGAGCAGGCAGGGGGGATAGACACACAAATAGGAATGCAGACACACAAATACATGGCAGCCATGTAAGTACAAGGCTCGCTGAACATAACCTGGCTTTGGGAAAACACAGACATGCAGCAAAGCACTCAGGGAAATCTGACAAGGTCAGCGAGCAGCAACAGGCTGTGAAAAAGCCCTCCAGAGAGCTCAAAAAACACCATAATCTCCCCGAGGAGCCCTCTAAGGCAAAAAGGACTCCTGGGTCGTTGGACCACAGAAAGGCTTTATCCAAACATGAAGCCGCTGTTAAGAAAGATGACAGCAGCTGGTGTCAGAGCTTTTCAGAGCAGCACTTCCCGGTCAATGACCACAGGAGGATCAGAATTCGCACAGATCTCTGGCCTCTTCCCTGGCTCAGCAGGGATGACATCCAGAAGATGGAACTCCTTGCCGGGGGTGAGGTGGTCAGCAAAGCCAGGGTGCCTGCACATGGACAGGTGCTCCAAGTGGCTCTGGATCCTCCTGCACCCCACCAGGTACATGAAATTTAAAAAAGCAAATGAGTGAATAATACTCTCAGTGATGTACAGTACAGTACTTTGACCATAAGCCCTGAGCTGAACCAGCTTCACTCCTTATTACATCTGTTACAGACTGTAAGTGATTCAACAAGGAACATGTAGTTTTCTGGTATTTCTCATGTCATATCAAGTCAGTTTTATTTACACAACACAAAATCCCAAGTTTGACTTAGTGGGCTTTACAGACTATACCACACACACTATGTAGACAGTTGGGTTTTTTTTTTTCAGGAAGAGCAACAAAGAAAGGACCCCCCTTCCAAACAGAAAGGCGTGCGATAAATGTCTTGCACAGAGAGCAGTGTATTAGAATTATAATAGGCAAAAGCAGAATATTAAGTCAGTCATATACATATTACATGACAGCTGAACTATCTGAGGGACATCTCTGAATACATGTTTATGACTAATATTGTGATTGTACATTAAATATCACATCTTCTATAAATTCAGTTCTGTATTAGTGGCCTACGGTATATTGAATAAGATATATTTGTACCAGCCAGACTTAATCATGAGCTTAAAGTATTTCTGCAAAGCAAAAAACAGGGTGAGATGCTTGTTGCAAAGCAGAAAGGACAGGGCTGGTGATATTCTACATTATTCTCATTGTTAATAAATCCCCAGAAAAGACCAAAAGCAGCCTGATACACCTTATTCTTCAGGCAACAGCTCCATTGTTAAAAGCTGTTACATTGCATGTCATGTTCCCTCATTACCAGGAACACACACTCCATAGTTTATTTTTGACTCAATCTCACATTCACCCTCCTGCTGATGTAAATAATCACTGAAGCACCACATGTGAATTAATCCACACCTGAAAATAGTCCTCAGCAAATGCAATTTTCTTCCCTCTGAGCACTGTTTGACTTTGACTTGTTTGAGCTGTATGACTACGAACCGATACTGTAGGTTCAGGGCTGACAGCCACAGACAGTGTAGGGAGGTAGTTAGAGACAGACAACTACATTATTGGTTTTAGTCTCTCTGTGGGAGGTGGTGTAAGAAAAATACAGAATAAGTCAAATTTTATCTGTTAGACTTTGATATTTTGAGCCTGACAAAGGTTCTCACTGTGTGGAAAACCAATTGCAGATCTGGTGTTAACAGTTATCTGCTGGCTAAAAAAGTTTTATTTCATTGTCATCACCAGTGTTGGGGAGCAGTGAAGCGACGTAAATAAACTAAAAGTTTAACTACATTTCGCAGTAGCTTGTTGGTAGTTCAACTACAGTACATTCTTATGTGCATTGTGATTCAAGTAGCTAAGTTACTTTTTGTCATTTTTGTATAGTTAACTACTGAAACTACAAATTGCCATAAAAGGTGTCAGGGACCGAGCAGTAAGGCAAAAGACACAGCTTTCAAAGTTCAAAACAATTGGCTTTTTAACCCAAAAGTAAGGAAAAAATACAAACATTAACATCAGATAAATTGGGCCCCAAAAAGAGGTCAACAAAAGATAAGGAAATTCAAAATACAGCAAACTGAACTGTCTGCTACCTCATCAAAAAACCAACTGACACACACACACACACACACACACACACACACACACACTTTATGTTTAGTACTCCATGGAGTCTACATCATGA